CTCTCTCTCTCCTGACTAACAGCCTATATTTACTATTGAGCTACTTTCTGGAACTCCCCTCCAGTAGATAGTATAAGCTATCCCAGCCTAAGAGAGAGAGGATAAAGAAGTATATAAATGAGTTGCTTGTGGCTGGAGTTATCCGCACCTCTACCTCACCTGTTGAAGCAGGTTTTTTCTTCGTTGGGAAAAAGGATTGATCACTCAGACCTTGCATTGATTACGGGGCAAAAAATAAAAATCCTCTTTCTCCTCTCTCAGCAGCTTTTGAACCGTTGCATTGCTCAAATTTCTTCACCAAGTTTGATCAGAGCCCAAAGAAGAACTATCTTAATCCTTCTTTTTTGCGCTTCATAGGATGGACTATGGTCTATGGTCATGAACTCTGGGTCATGACCGAAAGAACAAGATCGCGGATACAAGCGGCTGAAATGGGTTCCCTCCGTAGGGTGGCTGGGCTCTCCCTTAGAGATAGGGTGAGAAGCTCGGTCATCCGAGAGGTACTCGGAGTAGAGCCGCTGCTCCTACATGTAGAGACGAGCCAGTTGAGGTGGCTCGGGCATCTGGTTAGGATGCCTCCTGGACGCCTCCCTGGTGAGGTGTTCCGGGCACATCCCTCCGGGGAAGGCCCCAGGGAAGACCCAGGACACGCTGGAGAGACTATGTTTCTCGGCTGGCCTGGGAACGCCTTGGGGTTCCTCCTGAGGGGCTAGAAGAAGTGGCTGGGGAGAGGGAAGTCTGGGCCTCCCTTCTTAAGCTGCTGCCCCCACGACCCGACCCCGGATAAGTGGAGGAAGATGTATGGATGGAGGATGGACTATTTAAGTTTTTATCTAGAAAAAAGAACATTTCAAATTAAGCTGTTTTTATTTCCGGTGCCTTTAGAATATGCATGTTCTTTTTTTCATAGAAGGCAGAATGAGCCCACAAAAATGAGAGGGAAAACACTTTTTAAAGTTTTTATTGTTTGATAGTGAACTGGAAACCAATAGGAAGCAGTTAGACCATCACAGATCATTACCACCAGTGCTATGTCAGTGTGGTTTACTTCTTTTCTTGTTCACGAACAAAAACATCCTTTCACGCAAAAAAAACTTTTAATAAGAGTCTTCTGCAATTTTTCATGCAACGATAAGACGGTTGACACTCTTGGATATGGCAGGCTTTACCTTGCTGATATGGACTGTCAGCAGTACTCTGGCTCTTGGTGAGTTATTATATTGAACTGTAACCAAAAAGTGAGTGTGTTGTGTAAGAAAAATAGTAATGTTTCAGTCATTTATAGAATTATTGATGTTAATCTTGTTCATATGGTAGGAAATGTTAAATAGGCTACATGTTTTAGAACAACTCTTGCCATTGAAGCATGTTTTCATATTCGGAGACAGTTTTTAAAAAAGCATTAATGCTTATTTTAATTTTTTTGTTTTTGACAATCCTCAACACAATATACTGTATATAAAAAAAACTGAGAAAGAGACCACGCCATGTGGCTTATTTGTAAAATAATTATTTTAAAAAATCCTAAATAGGGATCATAACAGAAAAATGTAATGACTTCTAATTTTTTATTCATATATCTATGAATAAAATTTTTTCCCTTTAAATAAGTTTTTACATAAAAACTGTAAATTTAAGGTTAATTAATCTGTCACATCATAGTTTCTCTCATTGTATAACTTAAGAGACATTTTAATATCATGTATCAGCATCATGATTACGGGAGGCTGGTAGACCGCTTTGTGTCACGGTGTGGAAAAATCATCTGTTCCTGAATGTGAATAAAACAAGTGATAGTTAAGGTTGCATAATTTCTTTGGTTGGAACACAGGATGGTCTTCTTTAGAAAAATATACTAATAAAAGTTTCAGTCTGGTTATAGAAGTTTATAGACTTTGGTCCTAAAACAGGACCTGCCGTATCCGGACAGCAAGTCCGACTGCTAAAAATGATTAACTTGGTATAATATAAAGTCTTGAGGCAGGCGACGACAAAGACATTAATAGATAAAGGTTAAAATCTATAGAAAATGTTTCTACAAAAAAACAATACTTTCTTAAAGGGAAACAGAAAATAGTCTTTTCAGGTAAATAATGTTTCTAAGTGGTAAGGAGCTTCTGAGAAATGCCTCAAACTACAAGATGATCGAGACCACATAAAGAAAGCTGAAGGAGCTGACTTTAAAAGTCATCAATCGAACTAATAAATATGATGGTTGTTATTTATTGGTGGTTTATTTAATCTGTATAGGCCATCTTTGGTTCTTGAAGCTTCATTAAGTCGGACGTTAATATAATAACTTTGTTCTTCTTTCCACTGAGATGCAGTAGTTTTTAACACACCACAGTAAATGTTGACGTGTACAGGTGGAGTTGTCTTATTTATAGAGACATTGTTGTTCTTGATGTCTCCAGTACAGTTGTAGTCAGTGAACGGCTTCATATCAGATGGTTCAACTGTGTTATTGTCGTTTCCTGAAGAGACACAAACATTCAATCATTTCTGGGCTTTTTGTCCTGAGATTAACACCAAGTAGAACATGTTAAAAAGAGAGAACATGTTAAAACTGTTCCCTAAAAATAATCAATTTATTTACAATGTGTCTTTAGGCAAACATCTGTTTCTCAGTTTTGTTTTGTTTTTTGGAATTTATTTTAAATATTTATGACAGCTGTAGTTTCTGCTCACCTGAACATTTGTACTCAACAGTGAGATTATTACAGCTTGAAGGTAACTTTGGTTCGATCTTTGCAGGAAGTTTAGTGGGTTCAGACTGGATCGCTTCAAAGCTGTAAGAACCTGAACAATAACAGTTTTACATTTTAGTTTAGATAAAAGAGCTCAGTTTTCTTAGGTTAAACTGTTATCATAACAGATAAAATTAGTTTTGAACAGTGAAGAATAAACCCTCATTATTATTTTTTAAAACAATGGCATGTTCAGTTCTATTCATGTCTAGGGCGACAGTGGCGTTGGATGTAGGAGTTTGCCCTGAAATTAAAAGATTGACGGTTCCAGCCCCGGCTCCAACTTTTATTGTCGTTGTGTCCTTGGGCAAGACACTTCACCTGCATTGTCTACTGATGATGGTCAGAGGGCCCGGTGGCGCCAGTGTACGGCAGCCCCGCTTCTGTCAGTGAGCCACAGGGCAGCTGTGGCTACAATGTAGCTTGCCACCATCAGTGTGTGAGTGTGAGTGTGTGTGTGTGTGAATGAATGTAGTGTAAAGCGCTTTGGTCAAGTCTACTGACTTGAAAAAAGGCGCTATATAAGTACATGCTATTTACCATAACCTCATAGTTACAGTTTGTATCATTGCTGCCTGCAGCTGTTGGGAAACAAGGAAGGAACATTAAAGACATTTATTTGAGTTGAAATAGATTCCAAGACTGATTTTGTCAACCTGTTAGCATCACAGAGGAAAAAGTACGCTATTTTCAAACCAAGCAAGAAATCCACAAAATGGCACAGACAAAAAAAATCCATAAAATGCCAGATTTAGACTTTTGCTCAAACCTGGTCCTAAAGTCTGATTTCTAAAGTTTGATCCTTATCAAAAAAAAAAAAAAAAAAAAATTATATTGTCACTCGTATGATACTTTAAAATTATCCTTCTATGATAAAAAGAACATATATATTCAAAAGGCACCGGAAATAAAAACAGCTTAATTTGAAATGTTCTTTTTTCTAGATAAAAACTTAAATAGTCCATCCTATGAAGCGCAAAAAAGGAGGATTAAGATAGTCCTTCTTTGGGCTCTGATCAAACTTGGTGAAGAAATTTGAGCAATGAACCAATTCAAAAGCTGCTGAGAGAAGAGAAAGAGGATTTTTATTTTTTCGCCCCTGTAATCAATGCAAGGTCTGAGTGATCCATCCTTTTTCCCACCAAAGAAAAAACCTGCTTCAACAGGTGAGGTAGAGGTGCAGATAACTTCAGCCACAAGCAACTCATTTATATACTTCTTTATCCTCTCTCTCTTAGGCTTGGATAGGTTATACTATCTACTGGAGGGGAGTTCCAGAAAGTAGCTCAATAGTAAATATAGGCTGTTAGTCAGGAGAGAGAGAGCATTGAACTTACTGATAAACAGATGAAGTTAATGAGACTCAGGCAGAACCAGTGAAACCATTTAAGACTGGAGACACTGACAACTGTAGACAGTTTAAAAGACAGCCCATGACTAATCTTTATTTTCTTTTCAGTTCAGGTGAGGATTATGAAGGGTGAGCCAAGAGTACCATAAGCCAATGGGAGATTGGGTTGAAGAGAACCCGAAAAATATGAATTTTTCTATATTACTGACACCAGAAGTTAAACTGGTTCAGTTGGGTGCGTGATTATATGCTACGGGTGTAAAGCACATCCATCATGGCGATTCAATTCAGTATCGATTTCCTGACCCAACGATTCGGTCAGGATCCTAGACAGGATATTATAATCTTTAACAATACTTAAATTATCATGCAATAATTGTTTAACTTTTAAAATGCAAACAGTTCAGGTGCAGCATCTTCCTTTTCTAGTACCTGATCTCCTTCTATCCCTCTCCTCACTGCTCCTCACCGTTACTTCTGTTGTTTTTCCCTCTGTGGTTTCAATGAATCTTGACTGTAGTTCTGTCATCACATTATGGCAATGTGGATTTAAATAAAGACATTATACATCAATAAACATTAAGTGTTCTTATAACTTATTAGAGATCCAGCTACACTATTTGGTCCCAAAACATATTTAATAATAAAGCCCTTCACCTTTTTTTTAGCCTTTTATTTTTCATGTGCAGAACAAACCACACTGATTTAAAAATTAACATTTAACTGGAAACCAAGAGCAAGCAGTGAGACCAGCACAGATCATTACCACCAGTGCTCTATCGGTGTGGTTTTCTTCATTTCCTGTTCCTCGTCATAGAATGAAAGCATTTTTTACGTCTTCTGCATGTAGAAATTTTTATTTTTCATTAGATGTAACATTCAGACAGTTGACACTCTTGGATATGGCAGGCTTTACCTTGCTGATATGGACTGTCAGCAGTACTCTGGCTCTTGGTGAGTTATTATATTTAACTATAACTAAAAAGTGAGTGTGTTGTGTAAGAAAAATAGTAATATTTCAGTCATTTTACTGAGTAACAGATGTTAATCCTGTTCATATGTTAGGAAATGTTAAATAGGCTACTTGTTTTACAACAACTCTTGCCTTTAAAGCGTGTTTTTTATTTGGAGACAGTTTTTTCTTTAAAAAGTATTAATGCTTATTTTAATTTTTTTGCTTTTGGCAATCCTAAACACAATATATAAATAAAAACAGAGAAGGAGACCCCCGCATTGTGGCTTATTTCCCCAACTTACAACGTAAAATAATTATTTAAAAAAAAATCCTAACTAGGGATAATAACAGAAAAATTAAATTACTTCTAATTTTTTATTCATATTTCTATAAATAAAAATGTCAACATGTTTCCCTTTAGATAAGTTTTTACATAAAAACTGTAAATTTAAGGTTAATTAATCCGTCACATCATAGTTTCTCTCATTGTATAACGTAAGAGACATTTTAATATCATGTATCAGCATCATGATAACGGGAGGCTGGTAGACCGCTTTGTGTCACGGTGTGGAAAAATCATCTGTTCCTGAATGTGAATAAAACAGGTGACAGTTAAGGTTGCATAATTTCTTTGGTTGGAACACAGGATGGTCTTCTTTAGAAAAATATACAAATAAATGTAGTCTGGTTTGTTTTAAGGAAGTTTATAGACTTTGGCCCTAAAACGGGACCTGCCATATTCTGACAGCAAGCCCGACTGCTAAAAATGATTAACTTGGTATAAAATAAAGTTTTGAGGCAGGTGATGACAAAGACAATTAATAGATAAAGGTTAAAATCTATAGAAAATATTTCTACAAAAAAACAATACTTTCTTACAGGGAAACAGAAAATAGTCTTTTCAGGTAAATAATGATTCTAAGTGGTAAGAAGCGTCTGAGAAATGCCTCAAAACAAGATGATCGAGACCACATAAAGAAAGCTGGAGGAGCTGACTTTAAAAGTCATCAATCGAACCAATAAATATGATGGTTGTTATTTATTGGTGGTTTATTTCATCTGTACAGGCCATCTTTGGTTCTTTTCAAAGTTTCTATTAACTTCCTCTTAATGAGGAAAGAAGCTTTTCTGCATTAAAATCTGCTATCCAGCTGCAATAATGCATAAAAACAGCAACCAATGAAAATGGCAGGTCTCTACACTTTCCAGCTTCTGCTGTGCTGCATTTGAATTTTTTTAGCCAACAGTAAGTACAACTGTTTAATTGTTTTTATTTTGCTGTAGTATTATTTTTTTTTTAACAACATAAACTAAAGGCAGTTTTATCAGACAAAAAAAATGGTCACCACAGCATTTCTCAAAATTTGTGCGAAGGCATAAATTGTGAGCTAAAATATTTAAGGTGTTCACAACTGATAACAACAAGTAATAAACTTAGGGACCAATTTCAGATATATCAGCTAAACATGAATCTAAAAAAAATGCAAAAAGTATCATGAGTGAAAATATAAAAAAAATATTTTTTTTGATAAGGATCAAACTTTAGAAATCATACTTTATGACCAGGTTTGTGTCACGTCTTGGTAGTGGTTTAGAGGATCCAAATGCAGAGGCAGAGAGGCTGAGATGAATTCCTGCGTTTTTTAATGATGAAAAAAGGTTAGCTAAGGCAGTAATCCAAAAGTCCAACAGAAAATGTAACAGACCAGAACCATGGAAACATCAAGGGAAAACACGCACAAGGAGCCAGGGAATGAGGAGGTGAGAGGACAACGGCGACGACCGGACCAGCAACAACAAGGAACCAACAAAGAGTGAGAGCAGAGGGAGAACATAGCTGACAGAGACAAAGGTAGGGCTAACGAGCTTACAAGGAGCAGGTGTGAAAGGAGACAACGAGGGAGCCAAGGGGAAAGGAACACACACAAGAGGGCAACAGGGGACAACAGAAAAACGCGAGAACATGAATCTAGAAATTACAACAAAACTGGAATTAAACCAATAAAACTAGAAAACACGGAGCAAGGTAAAGTAAAACAGAACCAAGACCATGACAGTATCCCCCACTTAAGGGCGGATCCCAGACGCCCTAAAATGTCCATAAACAAAAAACAACCCACCCAGGGTGGGTGGAGGGGGAACCAGGAAGGAGGGCAAAAAACACAAAACCGAATGCCAGAGTCCGAAAAACAAAACAACCCACCCAGGGTGGGCGGAGGAGAATCAAAGTCTCTGGAGGCCGGCCGTGGGGCCGGCGACAACGCCGTCTCAGACGAAGGGGGGCCTCAGGAGGAGGCTGGCAACGCCGTCTCTGACGAAGCCGCATCAGCCGCCTTGGGGGCCGCCGTCTCAGACGCAGCCGCAGCAGCCGCCTTGGGGGCCGCCGACTGCGGCTCAGGAACAGCCTCAGATGGGGCCGCCGACTGCGGCTCAGGAACAGCCTCAGAGGGGGCCGCCGACTGTGGCTCAGGAACAGCCTCAGATGGGGCCGCCGACTGCGGCTCAGGAACAGCCTCAGAGGGGGCCGCCGACTGCGGCTCAGGAACAGCCTCAGATGGGGCTTAGAGCGCCATGTTAAAAGTTTTAACATGTTCTCTCTCTGGATCTAAATATTTACTTTTACTAAACGGGTCAAAGTTCTACTTGGAGTTAATCTCAGAACAAAAAGCCCAGAAATGATTGAATGTTTGTGTCTCTTCAGGAAACGACAAAACCAACGTTGAACCATCTGATATGAAGCCGTTCACTGACTACAACTTTACTGGAGACATCAAGAATAACAGTGTCTCCATAAATAACACAACTCCATCTGTACACGTCAACATTTACTGTGGTGGGTTAAAAACTACTGCATCTCAGTGGAAAGAAGAACAAAGTTATTATATTAACAAAGTGTGGAGTGAAAAACAAAAGGAACTGGATTCATTGGTGGTTATTATTTTATTCCAACAGATTTTAAAATAAGAGATTTAAAGATCAGAACATTCAACACTTCCATTAACCTGAGCTGGATAACAACAAGTGATAAATGTCAAGATATTCTTCACAACCTGGATGAGCTCTCTTACAGCTGTGATTGTCAGAACAGCAAATGTGAGTAAAGTTATTAGATTTGGTTTTTTTTTAGTATATTAACATCCAATAATGTTAAATATATTCTCAGTAGGATCATCTAAGTATTAGATATTTAGCTGAAAAATTGAAAACTTTTCTATCTATCAGTTTTAATTCTTTTACACAAAATACATTTGGAGATTAATATCAATGTAATAACCAGATATGATCAGTAAAGCTCTGATTCATAACTATCAATGTGTTCAAGCAGCAGTGACCTGTGGACGACTTTAATGGAAATATTTTATTCACCTCATGTTTAATTTGACAAACAGGCCAAATTCTTCTTCAGCATTTATTCAACTTTAACATGTATCATTGAAATTATTCTAACAATATTTCATACCAAGCTACTGTATTTAAATAAACCACAATACAGATCCTGGACGTAAGGTTGCAGCTGAAGCAAAAAAGAAAACAAAACCTGACGGAGGAACGTGTGACAATGGAGGACTTGAACCATTCACGGATTACAGATGTAAGGTCCGTCCCATCTACAACAAAGAAGGGCCTTTCAAGGAAGAAGAAGTTACAATAAAGACTGAGCCTGGAAGTGAGTAACTAATGAATATATTTTGTGAAATATTAATGCATTTTTTTAAGTACTCACAAATTTAAAATTATTTAGCATAACCTTTCAATTCATTTGTATGTCATTGCGTTTGAACGGAAGTACATCCATGTTTTCTCCTAGGAAATCCAACTCTTCTTTAACAAATAAATAAAACATGTATTTTTTAGATTCCATGGGATATATTAAATCACTTACAAGGAAGCTATTATTTTTAAACAGTTTGAATTTGCTAAGGGCTTAAATGTTGTTTTGAAAATCCAAATTCTTTCATCAGTTTTTATATTAATTCAAATAGTAAATTATAGTATGTGGATTATTTAAAACAGTAAATGGATTAAAACTAGAAAACTGCTAATAATTATTTATGAATTAGTTTAACAGATGAGGGAGTCTACATTTACAGCAGAATTAGACCAAGGTGCCAGAATCATACGTATTCTGTCATTCTTTGCGCCTGTTGAGAAAAGAATATTGACAAGTTTATTTTTTGACCCAGAATTGTATCTTTATTAATTCTGTGAAACCTGCAGTGAGTGTCTTACACCAGAGACTCACTGCAGGTTTCACATAATTAATAAAGAAATCCATTTTAATAAATAGCATATGTTTGGTACATAAAAAGAAAAGATAATATTGTCATAGTAATTCTTAATAATTCCCTGTTTAATGAGGGACCTGCTGATCATACAATAATCATCAATGTCAAAATTTCCAAATGAAAACCTCCTGAAGATAATGAATCTAATCTAATCTAATACATTATCAGTTTTTGTTCAAGTGTTTATAAATTACAAATCTGAAAAAGTTTCTCATGTTTCAGTTTGCTTCCATCATTTTATCTATGTTTCCTCATATGTGTCTTTTCTCTTCCTCCTACAGTACCTGATAAACCTGAAGTACTGAAAATTGATTATCCAGAGAACAATAAGATCTTGGTAAAATTTTCAGCTAAGACATTTAGAGGACCAGAAACAAAATACATTGCAGAACTTGTTGGGGTCCCTGGCAGCGAAAAGACTCAACAAAACCCTGAATTTGAATTCCAAGATCTGAAATACTTAACGTCCTACAGAATAAAGGTTTGTATAAACCTGAGCTGATTTCATGGGAAAAAATATTTATTGCTTTCCTGTAACCTTTTCCTGAATGCTGTGGATCCTAATTAGAAATATTTTGTCATTAAAGGTTAAAACGTACAACGGAAAGCTTGAGAGCGAGTCTGTGGAAATAGAAGCTAAAACTCTCTGTGGGTGTTGACTGAAAGAGAAACAATAAGCATAAGTGATGCTGAACACCAAACACAGCTTAACTCTCTACAATTTGTACATTAATGTGTCTGCTTTAACAACTCTGTTATATTTTACACAGACAATGATAAAGCCCTTATTCGCTGTTTGGTCGTTATCATCTGTGCAGCGCTACTACTGGCTTTCTTCATCAGGAGGAGGAGACAAAGCAGACAGTAAAACATATTCAGCTAATCTGCTTGTTGACTTTATTACTGTATTACTTTCCTCTACATACAGATGTGCTACAGTTCATATACCCTACCATTAAAATCAGGGAGAAAAAAAAAATCAGCTGCCAGTAAAATAAAATTTAATTGACAAAAGTAATAAATAAATGTAATAAAAAAGATAATCATACTGATTTTGAATAGATTTTTTTTAATGTATTTTTATTTTATTTTCCTAAATTGTCATTTAGTGTTTTTTATTTATGATTTCTTTTTTCAGTTTTGTGTTATTTAAATTACCAGTGTGAATTCATCTTTTCTTTAATGGGAGGGTTTGTAAACTTTAAAGCAAAACTTTATAATCCTCTGACCTTATTGCTTTTCCCCACAGTATTTTTAACGACAAAGGGCTGCTAACCACAACTGCAAGTAAGTCAAGTGTAGTAAGAGGATAACAATAAACTGTATTCTTACAGTTAGGCCTTGGTTAGAGCACCACATAACGTATAAACTGAGATTATCTAGAATTAATACAGTGAGTTAATTTTTATATGAGAACAAAGCCAAAAATAAAGTATGTTGCTTTATTCCTGCAGTGATGAGATCTTTCCTGTTCCTTGTTACAGTCTATGCTAACATGCCACCTCCCCGCTGCAATCAAAGCAATCACTGATGGCGGACTGATGGAGCTGCAGATGAAGACCCAATTTAATGTGTTGTTGTATCTGAGAAATTTGACACTTAAACCCAGGGCCATACGCAGGACCCAAAGAATACTGAGGCCAAGAGTCAGTCACTTCTAGGTGGTTTCAGCGGCGTGCTTCCCAGAAACTGTCCCATCATTTAAATCTGTCCATTTTCTGAATCTTAAGGAGCAAAAGAAACATCATTCTGACTTTTGAATAAACTAGTCAGTACATTCCTCTGTTCCTCTTTCCCTGCCAGATATTTCAGGCATTATAAACTTGTAAACTTGATTTTAATGTCATCTTTATTTTGAAGCTTCTATCTAAGAGGTTAGAAATGTGTCACAAATGTTCTTCAGATTTACCTTAGTATTTAAAATAGACACCCAGACCCTATTATATTATTATGTTGAAAATAGTGCCTAACCTGTTCACTCTTGTTATGGAAGGCCAGCTGTTGAACATATTTCTATTATAATCTTTAACAATACTTCAATTATCATGCAATAAATATTTGACTTTTAAAATGCAAACAGTTCAGATGCATCATCTTCCTTTTCTAGTACCTGATCTCCTTCTATCTCTCTCCTCACCGACACTTCTGTTGTTTTTCCTCTATGGTTTCAATGAATCCTGATTGTAGTTCTGTCATCACATTATGGCGATGTGGATTTAAATAAAGACATGCCCTTCACCTTTTTTTTAGCCTTTTATTTTTCATGTGCAGATCAAGCCACTCTGGTTTAGAATTCAACATTTAACTGGAAACCAAAAGCAAGCAGTGAGACCAGCACAGATCATTACCACCAGTGCTCTATCGGTGTGGTTTACTTCTTTTCCTGTTCCTCGTCATAGAATGAAAGCATTTGTTACATCTTCTGCATGTAGAAATTTTTATTAGATGCAATGTTCAGACAGTTGACACTCTTGGATATGGCAGGCTTTACCTTGCTGATATGGACTGTCAGCAGTACTCTGGCTCTTGGTGAGTTATTATATTTAACTATAATTAAAAAGTGAGTGTGTTGTGTAAGAAAAATAGTAATATTTCAGTCATTTTACTGAGTAACAGATGTTAATCCTGTTCATATGTTAAATGTTAAATAGGCTACATGTTTTACAACAACTCTTGCCTTTAAAGCGTGTTTTTTATTTGGAGACAGCTTTTTTTAAGGATTAATGCTTATTTTAATTTTTTGCTTTTGACAATCCTAAACACAATATATAAATAAAAACAGAGAAAGAGACCTCTGCATTTTAGCTTATTTCCCCAACTTGCAATGTAAAATAATTATTAAAAAAAAAATCCTAAATAGGGATAATAACAGAAAAATTTAATGAGTTCTAATTTTTTTATTCATATTTCTATAAATAAAAACGTCAACATTTTTCCCTTTAGATGAGTTTTTACATGAAAACTGTAAATTTAAGGTTAATTAATCTGTCACATTATAGTTTCTCTCATTGTATAACTTAAGAGACATTTTAAGATCATGTATCAGCATCATGATAACGGGAGGCTGGTAGACCGCTTTGTGTCACGGTGTGGAAAAATCATCTGTTCCTGAATGTGAATAAAACAGGTGACAGTTAAGGTTGCATAATTTCTTTGGTTTGAACACAGGATGGTCTTCTTTAGAAAAATATACAAATAGAAGTTTCAGTCTGGTTTGTTTTAAGGAAGTTTATAGACTTTGGTCCTAAAACGGGACCTGCCATATTCTGACAGCAAGCCTGACTGCTAAAAATGATTAACTTGGTATAAAATAAAGTTTTGAGGAAGGCGATGACAAAGACAATTAATAGATAAAGGTTAAAATCTATAGAAAATGTTTCTACAAAAAACAATACTTTCTTACAGGGAAACAGAAAATAGTCTTTTCAGGTAAATAATGCTTCCAAGAAATGCCTCAAACTACAAGATGATTGAGACCACATAAAGAAAGCTGGAGGAGCTGACTTTAAAAGTCATCAATCGAACGAATAAATATGATGGTTGTTATTTATTGGTGGTTTATTTAATCTGTAAAGGCCATCTTTGGCTCTTTTCAAAGTTTCTGTTAACTTCCTCTTAATGAGGAAAGAAGCTTTTCTGCATTAATATCTGATAACCGATAAAAATGGCAGGTCTCTACACTTACCAGCTTCTGCTGTGCTGCATTTGAATTTTTTAGCCAACAGTAAGTACAACTGTTGAATTGTTTTTATGTTGCCGTAGTATTTTTTCTTTGAACAACTTAAACTAAAGGCAGTTTTATCAGACAAAAATAATGGTCACCACAGCATTTCTCAAAGATTGTATGAAGGCACAAATTGTGAGCTAAAATATTTAAGGTGTTCACGACTGATAACAACAAGTAATAAACTTAGGGACCAATTTCAGATATATCAGCTAAACATTAATCTAAAAAACAAATGAAAAAGGACCATACAGTACGAGTAACTTTATAAAAATACTTTTCATTTGTTATCACTCTAAAACTTGATCTAACTTCTCCAGCTGAATCTGTCAGGTTTGCAGTGGGGCTTGTGCCTATCTCCAGCAGTCTATGTATTAACCTCAGTCATGCTTTTTTTTTTTATTGTGAGAGGACGTTGGAGTACCTGTAGAGACACACATACATAGACAGGGAAAACATGCAAACTCCATGCAGGAAGAGCCTAGGCCAAAAATCAGACAGCCTCCCTACCTCCAAGAACTGAACCAAACACAGCAATGGCTGCCAGCACAGGTTCTATGTTCACATCTGAGTTTCTGACTCTAATACCTGTTTGATAAGGATCAAAGTTTAGAAAACAGTCTTTAGGACCAAGTTTGAAGTGGAAAGCAGCAGATAATTATTTACTTGAGATGAATAAAGAAATTATTTTTAATGTTTCTATCTTGTTTCTTAACAGCTGCAGGAAGCAAAGATCCACAGTGTGAGTATCAGCTTTGAGGTCATGAGCTAAACTATAAATTTGCAATTTTGTGGATTTTTTCTCTAATAAAAAATAGAGATTTTTTTGCAAGGATTGAAAATAACATACTTTTTTTCTCTATGATGCTAACAGGTTGGCATAATCAGTCCTGGAATGCTGTTTAAACTAAAATTTGAAACTGTTATTGTTTAGGTTCTTACAGCTTTAAATCGATCCAGTTTGGTTTCCTGATAAATATGACAGATTTTACTGAGGGTCTCTACACCATAGCTGAGAAGGAAGGTCTGTTTGAAAGGAAAGACAATGTTTTTTTCTCCAATAAAAACTCAACTCATGAGATCAAACCCCTGAAGCCGTGCACTAAATATGAAATAATAGTCACACTTATTGGTGTCAATGATACAAAAATCATCTGTAACAAAACTGAAGATAAAAATACAATAACAACAACTGGAATGAGTAAGTAAAATATCCTCACATCTTAATTTACGTTATGTACTGAAATATGACTAGGACAAAACTGCTTTGTGTTTCAGAACCAACAGACATTAAAAAAGTCTCCTGCCCTGCTGGATATCCCAACCACTTCTGTTACCAGAGTGGTTGGGACATCAGCTCTTTATCATCAAAATACGTCAAGGCTTCACCTCCAGAGTTCAACAGTGGATCATATAATTTCAAACCTGCTTATGAGAATATCTGCTCAGATTTTGTTTTAGAGTATCCTACACAGAACTGCACATACAGCCAATCTACCACCCCTCAATATGTTCCTGTTGGTATGTACAAAAACCTATTAAAGATAAAAATCTATTTCTGTCTCATCAGTTATATCTATTTGATACTTTTGTTCTTCAGATTTCATTGATCCAAAGGACATAAATCAGCCTAAACCCACTAAACTTCCAGCAAAGATCGAACCAAAGAAACCTTCAAGTTGTAAAACTCTCACTGTTGAGTACAAATGTTCAGGTGAGCAGAAACTAAAGCTGTCAGAAATATTTAAAATAAATTACAAAAAAAAAAAAACTGTAAAAACAGATCTTTGCCTAAAGACACATTGTAAACAAATGTATTATTTTTAGGGAAAAGTTTTAACATGTTCTCTCTCTGGATCTAAATATTTACTTTCACTAAATGGGTCAAAGTTCTACTTGGTGTTAATCTCAGGACAAAAAGCCCAGAAATGATTGAATGTTTGTGTCTCTTCAGGAAACGACAATAAAATAGTTGAACCATCTGATATGAAGCCGTTCACCGACTACGCCTGCACTGGAGACATCAAGAACAACAATGTCTACATAAATAAGACAACTCCACCTGTACATGTCAACATTTACTGTGGTGGGTTAAAAACTACTGCATCTCAGTGGAAAGAAGAACAAAGTTATTATACTAACATAGTGTGGAGTGAAAAACAATAACAGGAACTGATTGATTGGTGGTTATTATTTTATTCCAACAGATTTTAAAATAAGAGACTTAAAGATCATTAAAATATCCAACACTTCCATTAACCTGAGCTGGATTACAATGAGTGATAAATGTCAAGATATTCTTCACAACCAGGATGAGCTCTCTTACAGCTGTGATTGTCAAAACAGCAAATGTGAGTAAAGTTATGAGATTTGTTTTTTTTTTTCTAGTATATTACCATCCAATAATGTTAAATATATTCTCAGTAGGATCATCTAAGAATTAGATATTTAGCTGAATATGGAAAACTGTTATATTTCTTTTACATAAAATACATTTGGAGATTAATATCAATGTAATAACCAGATATGATCAGTAAAGCTCTGATTCATAACTATCAATATGTTCAAGCAGCAGTGACCTGTGGACAACTTTAATGGAAATGTTTTATTCACCTCATGTTTAATTTGACAAACAGACCAAATTCTTCTTCAGCATTTATTTAACTTTAATGTATCATTAGAATCATTATAACAATATTTCATAACAAGCTACTGTATTTAAGTGCAGCTGAAGTAAGAAAGAAAACAAAACCTGATGGAGGAACGTGTGACATTGGAGGACTTCAACCATACACGGATTACAGATGTAAGGTCCGTCCCATCTACAACAAAGAAAGGGATTTCAAGGACGAAGTAGTTCATGGCAAGACTGAGCCTGGAAGTGAGTAACTAATCAATATATGTTGTGAAATATTAATGCAGTTTTTTAAATACTCACAGCTTTAAAAGGACTTAGTAAAACTTTGATATTCATTTCCATGTCATGTTGCAATTGACCAGAAGTATATCCATGTTTTCTCCTAAGAGATCAACTCTTCTTTAACAAATAAATAATACATGTATTTTTTAGATTTCATGGGATATAATAAATCACCTATAAGGAAGCTAATATTTTTTAACATTTTGAATTTGTTAAGGGTTTAATTATTGTTGTTTTGAAAATCCTAATTATTTCATCAGTTTTTATATTAATGCAAATAATAAATTATAGTATGTGGATTATTTTAAACAGTTAATGGATTAAAACTAGAAAACTGCTAATAATTATTTATTAATTAGTTTAACAGATGAGGGAGTCTACATTTACAGCAGAATTAGACCAAGGTGCCAGAATCATACGTATTCTGTCATTCTTTGCGCCTGTTGAGAAAAGAATATTAACAAGTTTAGTTTGACCCAGAATTGTATCTTTATTAGTTAGGTAGTTATGTGAAACCTGCAGTGAGTGTCTTACCCCAGAGACTCACTGCAGGTTTTGCATAATTAATAAAGAAACAAATTCTAATAAATAGCATATGTTTGGTATGTAAAAAGAAAAGACAATAAAATCTAATCTAATCTAATACATTTTCAGTTTTTGTTCAAGTGTTTATAAATTACAAATCTGAAAAAGTTTCTCATGTTTCAGTTTGCTTCAATCATTTTATCTATGTTTCCTCATATGTGTCTTTTCTCTTCCTCCTACAGTACCTGATAAACCCGAAGTACTGAAAATTGAATATCCAGAGAACAATAAGATCTTAATAAAATTTTCAGCTAAGGATTTTAGAGGACCAGATAAAAAATACTTTGCAGAACTTGTTGGGGTCCCTGACAGCAAAAAGACTCAAGGAAACGCTGAATTTGAATTCCAAAATCTGAACTACTTAACATCCTATAGAATAAAGGTTTGTATAAACCTGAGCTGAGCTAATGGAAAAAAATATTTATTGCTTCCCTGTAACTTTTTCCTGAATGCTGTGGATCCTAATCAGAAACATTTTGTCATTATAGGTGAAAACTTACAACGGAAAGCTTAAGAGCCAGCCTGTGGAAATAGAAGCTAAAACTCTCTGTAGGTGTTGACTTAAAGAGAAACAATAAGCATAAATGATGCTGAACACCAAACACTCTCTACAACTTGTACATTAATGTGTCTGCTTTAACTTCTCTGTTTTATTTTACACAGACAATGATAAAGCCCTTATTGGCTGTTTGGTCGTCCTCACCTGTGCAGCGCTACTAGTGGCTTTCTTCATCAGGAGGAGGAGACAAATCAGACAGTAAAACTTATTCAGCTAATCTGCAAATTGACTTTACTATTAAATTACTTTCCTCTACATACAGTTGTGCTACTGTTCATATATCCTACCATTAAAGACAGAAACAATCAGCTGCCAGTAAAATAAAATTCAATTGACAAAAGTAATAAATAAATGTAATAAAAAAGATAATCATACTGATTTTGAATAGATTTTTTGATATTTTTTTTCCTAAATTGTCATTTAGTATTTTTTTATTTATTATTTCTTTTTTCAGGTTTGTTTTATTTGAATAACCCGTGTGAATTTATCATTTTCTTTAATGCGAGGGTTTTATAAAATTTCAAGCAAAACTATACAATCCTCTGACCTGATTGCTTTTCCCCACAGTGCTGTTAATGAAGAAGGGCTGCTAGCAATGACAGCAAGTAAGTCAAGTGGAGTAAGAGGATAACAATAAACTGTATTCTTACTGTTAGGCTTCGGTTAGAACACCACATAATGTATAAACTGAGATTATCTAGAATTAATACAGTGAGTTAATTTTTATATGAGAACAAAGGCAAAAATAAAGTATGTTGCTTTATTCCTGCAGTGATGAGATCTTTCCTGTTCCTTGTTACAGTCTATGCTAACATGCCACCTCCCCGCTGCAATCAAAGCCATCACTGATGACGGTCTGATGGAGCTGCAGATGAAGACCCAATTTAATGTGTTGTTATATCTGAGAACTTCGATGCTTGAACCTAATATTTGTGGATGAACCCTCCCAGGTTTCTCTCTGTCATAATGGACAGTCTTTCATAGACCCTTTCCTTCTGCAACCTCCACAGCTTCTTTAGTGGTACCTGAGATCTAGAGGTCATCCTCCTTAAACTCCATAAAGGGTCCTGAAGCCTCCCTGGATTCCTTTCAGTTTGCCTCCAGAGAACTAAGATTTTTTTTAATGTTCAGTTTACCTTCATGAAGTCTGTGCCTTGCCCTAATGGGGTAACCAGCCTGTGCAACCTGAGCTTTTAGGTTGTTTTTTTGGTTTTCTGGTGGTGCAGAAGTGACACTATGGGCTCTGAGACAAGTAATAGTTTTTACTCTGGTTTTCACAGTAATTGATTGTAATTTGAGGTTTCTGTAAGGAAAATAATTTGGGATCCCCCCTTTTATATGAAATCTAGTTTTTTTTACGTGTTTCGTCCTGTCATAAATTTGTAAAAAATAATTTTACTGTTTGTTCGCATCACTATCAAAGGGATCATCATTTTATCATCACAGTTAAGCCTTTGCTTCATTTATGTTACAAAGGCTCATTCCTCAGATAAAGGAGCATGATAAATCAGAATGAAGGAATGTCTCCATATTCCAGGTGGAAAAACTGAAATAAAGTTAGACCAAGCAACTTATACAAGTTAAGAAAACTTGGTTCTTCGATGAAATAAGTCAAGTACTTTAATATAACAGAAGGATGTATTCTGCTGCATTAATCTGCTCCTGATATGGAACAAATAAGAGTCTTGCAGTTACAGTTTTCTCTGCTATGTAATTCATCTTATTCTCTGTCGCTACGCAGGTATTTTTTTATTTCTGTTTTTATTTTGTTTTTCTCAATATTTTTAACATATATATTCATATAGTATTAATTTCTTACATGTTGGATGGGCGCACAGCTGGATTAAATAAATGGTCTAAACTAGCCAGACTGTATTTTTTTGATCCGCCCCTCCATTGATGTAATTTCTGAATTCAAATTTGAAACTTACCAACTTTAGCAATAAAAATAAATTCACATTTTACATTGTGTAGTTTGTGGTTATGACAAGTTGGTTCCCTGTATGTCAAAATAAGTCATGGATCATGTATTACATTTTATTATTTTTATTATGGTAATTACTGTATATGTTACTCTGAGGCTAAACTACGTGCTATCAAGTTAGCCTTTGAGAATAAAGCAGAAGTACCAGTAAATCTCCAATAAATGTCAGCACTGTGTTGCAAACACATCGAATAAGATAAATGATGTAAACTACTGCATTCTTCAGAATACCCTAATCAAATATTTTGATTAAATTGAATACTCTGTAAGTAGTCATATAATATAGTATAAAAAAGACCAAACTTTGCAAGGAGAGAAACTACTGTAGGGGTAAAGGCAAGATGGACGAGGATCACCTCTCTTCAAATTTCAGGTATTCAGCTCCTGGTCTGGACTGATTTAGCAGTTTCCTCCACTCGTCTGATGATTATCTGTGCTGTATAAGCAGATTTAAATAAGCAATCATTAAATAACTTGTTCCTTTTGTTGGAACCAAGAACATAATTTTACACATTTATTCACTGACCTCCCGGAACAGCAAAGGACAAATTAATTGGGTGAACAAAAATTATACTAGCTAAATGTCCCGCTTAGCCCTGACTCCAGACCCCGTCCTGACCTCCCATCGGATTGAACTGACTGGTTTTAATGTGATGTCAATTAAGTAACTTAGGTTACATTAGGTAAAGAAATGTTAAGATAAACAATGCCATTTTTTGGGGTGAATTATTAAGTATTGATTTCTTAACACACTGAAATAAATTGTAGATACCGAACACACCCATATATATGTATTTTTAATTTTCCATTTTTACTTTTGTCCCTCCGTCTGGGTCGCTCCAACCAATCTGACCTTAGGGACATGGCTAGTTTGCCTTTGCATTAATCTGGGCCTGGATGGGTGTCATCTGCTTTCATGTGTAAATCTAAGAAAAATAGGGATGAGATTTGCCTGTCCCAAAACTAGATCCCCTTTGGTCCTTGGCTACGCCTAGAAATATATCTATAAAGGTTATGAATAGGACAGGTGACAGAGAGCAACCTTACAGGAGTCCAACATGCACCAGGAAAGCGTCCGACTTAATGTCGGCAATGTGGGAACAGACTCCAGCTTGAATTGAACAAAGACTTGATAGCGGCTGGTAAAGGGAAGCTCACTCCATACCCCTAAAGCACCACAATCAATGGTGGCCTGTGGGAGACCCAGTAATGTCTTTTATTATTGGATGAACCAGTTAAAAGTGTGTCTGTGAGATCACACAGGGGGTGGACTGTGCTGGAAACCCCCTCTTGGTACTCCCAGTTTTAATTACATCTGAGAGAAACACGCAACAACACCACATTTGGGCAGGCGCAGGGAGGATCGGGGTGTTCTCACACCACTGTTCTCCGGCTGCTGCCCGCAGTCTGGGGCCTGGTGGAAGAGTGAGCCACCTGGTCCGTGCTTTTGGCTGGGGCCGGCTGCGGGGCCTAGGTGGCCTGGCGGTGGCGGGGCTGTCGCCTCTGCTCTCCCCAAAGAAGGTTGGAAGGAGGGGCATGAAGTGCCTGGTTGAAGTGTTTTTTTTTTTTTTGGGGGGGGGGGGGGGGGGGGGGGGGGCGGTTCTGGTTGGGTGGCCTGCGCGGGATGGGTGGGCCCCGGTCCCGGGAGGGGCGTCCGTGTGCGGGGTGGGGGGCCGGGCTCGAAGCAGGAATGAGATGGGTTGGTGTGGCGGTGTCGCCGCTCCCCTCCCCCCCCATCCGGATTTTAGGTTCACTTATTGGGTCATCCGATAGTCCCGGGACCAACCAACGGTGCCACCGGGTTTTTGGTCCTGGTAATATTGGATGTGATTGTTATGTGTGAATGTGTGTCCGCGTTGTTATTTTATTTTTTATTTTTTATTATTTATTTCGTTCTTTATTTTATTTTTTTTCTGTGGTGCGAGTGGGGGCACTAGGGAGGGAAGGCATGAAGGCAATTGTGAGTGTTTTTTTTTTTTTTTCTCTCCCAGGTTGGGGTCTCAACTGCACCCTCTCCCAAATACATTAAGTCTCCACTAGTGCAGAGCCCATTCCCCCCATCCTGCTCTCTCTCCTGTGGCTGGCGTCAGGGCTCACCGGAGCACTGGTGGAGCTTGGGGTCTGGAGGTGGATGCCCGGGGGGCTGCTGGCTCATTCCTGGCGGCCTCTCCGCTGGCCCCAGCCGGCCGGGGCTTTGCTGGGGCTCCTGTCTAGGGGTCGGCCGTCCCTGGGGCCTCGGATCCCTGGGGCACGGGACTATGCATTTCGGGGTGGGGCTGGGTGTTGTTCGGTGATTTTCGGTGTCGGTTCCGGTGCCTTCACTTTGATGGCGGTTCCTGGGAGATGCTTTTTCCGATGCCGGTTCTGTGGTATCGGTTCGGGGGGGAGGGGAGCTGCTGGGCATGATGAGGTGCAGGTCTTGTGTGGTAATGTGGCCTTTTTGTTTAGTTGTTGCATGTTTTCTGATTTTGGATTTTCTTTATTTTTGAACTTGTTTGCTTGTTTTCAATTTTGTGTGTTGCATGTTTTTTCGGATTTTGTTTGGAGGCCACATTGCCACACACACCTGGACACGCCCACAACGGCACAGGTGTTCCCAATCAACTAAGCAGCGTGCCGACTGGGACGCTGATTTAAAAAAGGCAGCTGCTTGGTTGGAGGCACAGAGACCGGACATGGGAAGGTTTGGTTGGGGAAGGCCGATCTTGGAGGGAGCCGGACGGAGCGAGTGAGAGGGAAGCAGCGGGAGAGCCTTGGGGACTGACGGCCGGAGGCCGCTGGAGCGAGGTGCATAGACGCGCACCGGAGAGAGAGACGCGCGCCGGAGAGAGAGACGCGCACCGGAGCGAGCGAGGTGCAGGGACGCGCACCGGAGCAAGGTGCAAGGACGCACGCCGGAGAGACGCGCACCGGAGCGGGGTGCAGAGAGGCCCGTCATGGAGCGAGGCGCAGAGGCACGCTGGCGAGAGGCGCGTGTTGGAGGAGACCTCGCAGGCCAGCTACGCTGGAGAGGCCCAGACGCGCAGCGTGCCGAAACGAGGACCCAGCGCTGGGGCGGACGGTGCCCTCCATTATACCCGCCAAGTGCGCGTCTTTTAACAGATTTGCCCATTGACTCTGCTGCTCTCCACCATCTGGATTTTTATCTTTCTTTTTAATCTTTTCTCTTTTATCTTTCTTTTTAACCCTTTTCCTTTTAACTTATCTTTTTATCTCTTTTTTTATTGAACTTTTAATCTATTAAACTTTTTAAGGCCCTGCTCACAATCGCCGCAGTCTGTTTGGTTTTTATGTTTTTTTTAAAGATGATCGCACCTCTCGGGTGCCACACTTGGGTCTTGTTTTGGGCTCCAGTATTTCCGCTTGCATTTCTTCTCTTGCATAGGGGAATTTTTATTTATTTTAATTGTAATTATTATTTTATTAATTAATTAATAAAAAAAAAAAAATTTTCTCGGTGGGGGGGAGCGGTTGCGGGCGGGTCAGTGTCTGGTGTCCACTGTCGCATTGTGGGGGCTTTTCTGCTTGCCGTGTTTTTTTTGTCTGTTTGTTTTTTCGGGGGGGGGGATTGGCATGTCTGTTTCCTCGGGGGGCGGGCAGCCCTGTTGGGTGGGGGTCCTGCTGGCGGCGCGCCGCTGGTGTGTGGGGGTCTGGGCGCCTCCGGCGGGGGTGGTGTTGGGCGGCCAGTGTGGATGGGCTGGCTGCGCTGATTGGGTATTTGGGTGGGTTTTCCCTCTTGGAGGCATGGTGGAGCTGCTTTGTTCCCGCTGATCGCGGCGGGTGTGGCTGCGGGGCGGGTGGGGTGGCTTTGGCCGGCGCACGTCAGGGGGCCGGGGCGGCGGAGCTGCTCCGGCCGTGTGTCGGGGGCTGGTGCGGGCGGCAGACGCGGCTGTGCTTTGTGCTGCCCGCGGGCTGCTGGGGGGGGGGGGGTGATTGCGCCGGCTGCGGTCTGCTCTTCTTGCGGTCGGGCGCCGGGCGGCTTTCCTGCTCTTGGGTTGATTCTGTGCGCAGTGTGTTGTGTTGCGCACTGTTGGCATCGGTCTTGGTTGAGTGGGGCCGCGCTTTTGGCCTGGGGGGCGTTTTGGGGGGGTCCCGCGGCGCTCGCGGCCGGTTCGCAGTGGAAGCGTGGGCCCCGGCTGTGGGCGGGGCCGCCTGTGTGTTTTTCCTGGGTGGTGCGGTCGCATTGGCTGTTGCGGCCGGTTGCCGGGGCTTGGTGCCGGGGGGCCGGGCGTGTTTCGGTGCTCTGTGGGGCCGGGGCATTTCGGTCGGTGCCGTGGGGGGGCTGGTGTTCGGTGCCCAGCCCTACTTCAGGGTGGCCGGCTGCCGGCGGAGCCCGCAGTCTCGTCCCCGCGGCTCCCCGGGGCGCCGGCATGGCGGTGGCTGGGGGGCTTCTTCAGTGCTGTCTCTCCTCCTCCCTTGGTGGGGGTCTGATTTCCGGGGTTGGCCTCTCCTTGGTGCTTTCGCTCTTGGGGTCCCTTTGGGTGCCTGGGGCTTTGGGTCTCCCAGCGCTGGATTCTGGGGGGTGTGCCTCTCCAGCTCTCCACAACCACTATTGAGCATTTTTTCTATGGATAAACTTTACATGCACACTTGATTCAGGTTCCTGATATATCTTCTCATTATGCACTCAGGTTCTCCACAGTATTGCTAATGACCTGAGTATTTGACTCAGGCATGTTGAAGCATAGACAAAACCAAAATGTACAGGTCACGTCACCGGCAGTAACCTAGCCTATTTTTAACTTGCATAACTGTTCTGTCATTGAAAAATTGCTCTCCCATCTCGCTGCAGCTGCAACAATCCTCAGCCACTGTAAGTCCAAAAATGAGAATGCAGTCTACCGGGGCTTTTTTTTTTTTTTTTTATCTTATCAGGGACTTAAATGTGTCCCTGGCCTCTTCTGCCTCTCCTGTTTTACCTCCCAACTCTTCTTCCATTCAGCCTCACTTTTCTTTCCCTTCTACTCTCTAGCTGTCGACCCTGTCCAAAAACCTGTTTTACCTTTAGCCATGAGACATTGTAAAATTGTGCTGTGCTCCAGCTGCATTCCTACCTGGGTGGTGCGGTCGCATTGGCTGTTGCGGCCGGTTGCCGGGGCTTGGTGCCGGGGGGCCGGGCGTGTTTCGGTGCTCTGTGGGGCCGGGGCATTTCAGTCGGTGCCGTGGGGGGGCTGGTGTTCGGTGCCCAGCCCTACTTCAGGGTGGCCGGCTGCCGGCGGAGCCCGCAGTCTCGTCCCCGCGGCTCCCCGGGGCGCCGGCATGGCGGTGGCTGGGGGGCTTCTTCAGTGCTGTCTCTCCTCCTCCCTTGGTGGGGGTCTGATTTCCGGGGTTGGCCTCTCCTTGGTGCTTTCGCTCTTGGGGTCCCTTTGGGTGCCTGGGGCTTTGGGTCTCCCAGCGCTGGACTCTGGGGGGTGTGCCTCTCCAGCTCTCCACAACCACTATTGAGCATTTTTTCTATGGATAAACTTTACATGCACACTTGATTCAGGTTCCTGATATATCTTCTCATTATGCACTCAGGTTCTCCACAGTATTGCTAATGACCTGAGTATTTGACTCAGGCATGTTGAAGCATAGACAAAACCAAAATGTACAGGTCACGTCACCGGCAGTAACCTAGCCTATTTCTAACTTGCATAACTGTTCTGTCATTGAAAAATTGCTCTCCCATCTCGCTGCAGCTGCAACAATCCTCAGCCACTGTAAGTCCAAAAATGAGAATGCAGTCTACCGGGGCTTTTTTTTTTTTTTTTTTTTTTATCTTATCAGGGACTTAAATGTGTCCCTGGCCTCTTCTGCCTCTCCTGTTTTACCTCCCAACTCTTCTTCCATTCAGCCTCACTTTTCTTTCCCTTCTACTCTCTAGCTGTCGACCCTGTCCAAAAACCTGTTTTACCTTTAGCCATGAGACATTGTAAAATTGTGCTGTGCTCCAGCTGCATTCCTACCTGCCAGCTGATGGTTAATGAGATGCATTTTGGAACTCTTTCAGAAAACTGGTGAATCGTTTGGTGATATAATGCATTGCACACTTGATTCAACTATGCAATATGGTTTGCAAAAGCGTTCCAAATTAAATAAATAATGGACATTTTCTTTATGAAATATATTTAATAATGATAGAATATATTAATCAACATAACATAACCAATTAATAATGTAGGAAACAGCAGAGTTGTACCTAATTTGTATGGAGGCAACGAAGCATTGCATCCTGTTCAAAGAAATGCAAACCTCTTTTTAGATGTTCACAGGTAACAAGATGGTGTGAGATTTGACAAAGTAGATTTGAGAAAATAAACTTCTATATGAGAAATGTGCCTAAGCGGCTGAGAAAAATAAAAATAAACGTTACCCACAAACCACACGGATGAAGAAGTTCACATGTATCTTCAAACTGTAAGAGTAGTGAGACGACATATGAAGATC